AAAAAAAAAAAAAAGATGGCGCAATGAATATGCAATAAGCACAAAAAGTTATGCAAGAAATTGAGCAAAAAGCATTATACAAGCATATGGCGGATTTCATATGACAATTATTTTCAAAATGTTGGCCATACGATGTTACTCCACACATGAAAAATGAAGATGGATCCTTTAGAACCAACATTGTACATTTATAGCATGTGAATAATGAATTCGATTCCAATTTTTAATGATTTTTAAATATTTATTGCGAACGTTAATAGTTTATGCTTAGTTAAATTTGATCGATTTATTTTATGAAATAAGAAATTATAATCTTTGAGAGAGAATTGATTTCGCGAAAACTCACATAAGTTGTTTTCTTTATTCTCGTCTTCTTGACCACATATGTATCGCACTCAAGTCAACTATATTTAATATGCTATTCGATTAGCCAGTTTAAGGTTATTTGGGGGAAAAAAAATCAAAATTAAACTGTGGTGTCTTTATGAATTATCAAAACAATCATGTTTGGTTTACGATCATGATTTACAATATGCTACGTGACATTAAATCATTGAACTGTTTTCACATCAACTTGTATTTGCTATCACTAGTTTTTCGACAACAAACAATGTTGTCAACCAATTTATTGTTCAAATTGTTCAAATAGATCAAGCCCACGTTTGGTCAATGACAACAATTAATTTTAATCACATGTTTTATGGATTTCACAATTTTTCAATCATACGTTTCATCAATTTCTATTAGAGTCCGATATATTGGTTTCAATTTCATGGAAAATGTCAAATACGAGAAATTCAATTTCTACTTTAGCTGTTTGATAAGAAAGTAAATATGGAGTTCGAATTTCAAGGAACAGCCACTTTAAACTTAATTTTTTGCCAATTTCATGAAAAATGCAATTATATGGGTATTTGAATTTTTATTTTTCAACTTATACGAAATTGGAAAGCCATTTCACACTCATCAATTGAAACTTGCTGAAAATTTGATTTTAATTTGTGGATCTTCTGGTACTTTACAAAAAGTACAAGTCCGCGAAGCAACGATCAGATTCGTACCCAAACTTTTTCTGCTCTTTTATCGCTTCAGATTCAGGAAGGATAAAAGAAGAGGATTCAATTTTGGAATTATGTTACTGCAATCTTGTAAATTTTTCAGCTGCCCAGTTAATAACTGTTCTAATGTTAATCCTCCTATATCCCATTTTTCGATACGAAAAAATTCAAGAATTCATTCTTATTTTCCATTTCGATGTGTATCTAAACTAGAATGTCCTACAACTGCAGTCAGTGATGTTGCTGGTATTTTCCAGAACAAGGTTAGGTTATTCTTTTTAATGGGTCGTGAATTTCTTCAATTGGGTGTTTTCTTTATGATTCTCAATTTCTTGGTCAATCGATTGTGTATAGGTTTTGATAGCCGCAGCTTTATCTGCAGCAATTGGGCAATTATCAAAGCCAATTACTTCGACTATATTTTCTGGCAAGAATTTTGATGTTAAAGCTGCCATTCAGGCTGGAGGGTTCCCTTCTACCCATTCCTCTGTAATGAATTCTATTATTCTGCTTATGCTTATGATTGTATATTAGTTTTTTGGGCTAGGCTAGGGTTATGAACTCGTAATCTGATGATCGATGGGATTTCGTGGTTATAATTTCATTCCATATCAAATACGGTTCTCACTGGATATATTTATATCAAATTACAGGCTGTGGTGGCCACTGCGACTTCCCTTGGTTTGGAAAGGTACTGTGCCCTCGTTTATTTTATTCATTAAATAAAGAGATTTCCTTCAATTTTGATTCTACTTACAATGTTATTGCAGGGGTTTCTCTGATGCAATTTTTGGTTTAGCTGTAGTTTATGCAAGCCTTGTCATGTATGATGCACAGGTTTGTGTTCCAGCTATTGTCTTTTCTTCCTTTACTCTTTGATTTCTTGACTATGCATCAATGTGCAAATTGAATTTGGAGATTTTGATATGGAGGGTTTGCTTGTTTGAGCCTCCTTTATTTCAGGAAGGGGACGACTTTAGAGGTGGGATTTTGTTCTAGCTTGCATCAAGCATTTGAAAAAAAATGAAAAAAAAAAATCGTGTTCTGTACGTGCAAGCACAGTTCCCTAGTGTCCTGTTTTGAGTACTCCTCCTTGTTTTTAAATTAAAGCAAGATGATTTGGTTAAGATGGACATTGAAATTAGAGTAGAGACTTGCTTGAAAATCTAAGGTCTGTGTCTAGTCTGGTTCAGGAGTCATTTTAATTATTTCAGAAGCTTATCAGATGTGTTTCTTGTTCATAAATGCACACCCTTTCTATTGTTTGGCAAGGTAATTCATTTTCTCACCTTTGAAGTTATGATTCTGTAGGGAGTTAGAAGGGAAGTCGGCATTCATGCGAAAGAATTAAACAGGGTTTTGCTAAGCACCAGAAAGAGTTCAACTTCCGGTAAATTCACCAACTCTTTTCCAGGAGAATCATCTTCCGATTTAGAGAGCGCTGACCCTCTTTTCTTGGAGGAACAGAGTTCTTTACAGACAAAACAGGCAAATGGTTCCGTGTTACTTAGATCCGGGAACAGGAAACAAAGCACTACCGTTAGATCCTCTGGTGTGGGATCTGATGTTGGAGAAGAATCAGTAAGCGTATCGTATGGTTCCTCCACGTTAAAAGAATCAATCGGACACACAGAAATTGAAGTCGTAGCTGGTGCTGTGTTGGGTTTCATTGTTAGTTTAGCAATATGTTGATACTTATAGTGTGATTTAGTTGTCAATTGTTCTATAGCAATTTGTTTTAGGATATAAACACTTCATCAAACTGTGGTTTATTCCCACAAGACATTCCCTGCCCAGTATAACCTGCATTCTACATCTACACAAGTTGGAAATGGGCTTCTTTTATGGAAAAAAACAATTATTATTTCGTAATGTTGTCTTGTGTATTTTACCACCTGGATGCAGAAGTTAAAGAGGTTGCACTTTGGTTTAAATGCTTAAGGGGGCTATAATATGTTCTCTTTTGTAACAAGCCTTGGTTTTAGTTGTGTGTTTAGGAGACATGTTGGTAGACGATATTGGACAATATCGTACATAACAATATTCTAAAATTTAACTTATTTTTCTATGTATATAGTAATATTACAAGAAAAATTGCTTATAACGATGATAATTTTTTCTCGCTGGAGCTTGGAAGTTAAATATAACTGACTAAAATATTTTTCATTTCAATGAAGAGGTTTGAATAACGAATTGTCGCAATTCGTTGTCGAAAATTAAATAAAATAAAACAATAAATCTTATACAATGCAAACGAGAAGTTTCACTTTCACCTTGATTCCATGATTATTGATGTTACCAATGATTCTATTACAAGAAAATCATTTTGGTTTGATTCGATTCAATTCATTTTGAAATCGAACCATTTGAAATCATGTCTACCCTGTTATATTGCATATATTCAAGATAGTACCAAATGCTGTTTGATTGGCGTTTCAGGTCTTATCATCCAAAAGAAGAAATAATATATTAGTAATTCAAATTGCTATTCACTTCATTTTATTTTGATAAACTTACTAGACGTAACGTAATAGCTGCAATAGTTGCGCATGCATAACACGTAAAGGACTAAAACGGTGGCTCTCGATTTCGCCGCCACGTGCAAATTAACAAAAGATAAGCTTCGCCGATTCAATCTTCAAAACCAGAGGCAAGGAAGGCAACTGTATATATATACACACACACCCACATACAATTCTGGTACGAGTTCCAACTTGAAAGAGAGAAATTAGTGATCTTGTGTGGTTTATTTGGAATTAACGTTTAATCGTAGAAGATGTCGGGGGCACAAGGAGCACTGCCGCCTGGTTCGTTCACGGCGACCACATACGAATCGACTGAAACTGGAGAGAACAAGACGAAGCTGGGTATACCTTCAAAGGAGGATGAGGGGGGAATTCAGNCTGGAGAGAACAAGACGAAGCTGGATATACATTCAAAGGAGGATGAGGGGGGAATTCAGATAGAGAAACTCCAGGACAAGGTGGAGGATGCCGCAGGTCAAGGCGGCCCGGTTTTTGGTGCAGGCGCCGGCGAGGAGGTGGAGGAGAAAAAGGATGACTTAGGCGTTACTGGAACTGCCTAGCTAGTAGTTTCTTTTGGGGTTTTCTCTCGGACAAGTTTCTTTGTTTTTTCTTTTCGTTTTTCTTCTGTTTATTCGTTAGTTTGTATGAACAGTTTTTTATTTATTTTTTGACATGTGATATGCTTATGTACTTTTTATATGTTTCTCTTGTGTAATTTGTAAGTTTGGCTAAGCCAATCTACAGTGTCTGATGGTGGATTACAATTACAAATCCTGAAGGGCAATAGGCAGCGATTACCTAGAATTCTTATCTTATATTGATAGAAAAAATTGCGGAAAATGGCATTAAATCCTGGCAAAGTCTCCAAAGCGTTGTTCAACAATCTATAGACAAATTTAGGGAATTAGTCTTTATTTTCAGCAATAACCACAAGGCATCGAGTAGAAGGTCTATAATAATCCTTGTAACAAATGTTGGAAATATAGAGTATGGAGGGAGGAGATGGAAACACAAAAACAAGAAAATAAATGTGAGGCTTGGGCACGTTTAATAAATAACGTTGTTCTTAAATGATATTTGTCTTCTTTACACTCTTCAATTGTCTTTAAAGATTTTTGACAAATAATTTGAAAGATTAATCAAAACTATAATGAAAAATCAAAGCACAAGTGTTTCTTCAATGACCTTGATGAAAACAAAGTTAGTTTGAATATTTATGAGAAATTGGGTTTAATGTGATCAATAATATCAAAGTGATTGAAATATTGTTGTTCTTATATTTGAAAATGGAATACCAACTTTACAACAATGAATGTAATGAAATGTCTATTACCTTCTCTTGATAACACGACATTCAATTCTCAAATATTAGAATGCACAAGTTCAAATAATTGAAATGTTATTTCTACAATATAAAATGATTTTTTAGTCATCTTGCAAGTTTCACATTTATCTAAGTTATCAAGTTCACATAATATTATTCGTATCTAATCATTATTTTCATAGTACTTATACCTATGTGTGCTAATCTATCATGCCATAAAGAAAATGAGTCAATCATATAATCAAAAGATTTATTTTAAAAAAAAATTATCATCAATAGTACATAATTTGACAATTTCTTCACTGGTATAACATTTACCAACAAAATACCCATTTTAGGTTAATACAAGTTTACTCGTTTCAAATACAGATTTGATCCCCAATTTTCCTAAAAGAACCACACTTGCTGAGTTTCTATTCATATATGGTAGATGAAGCAAGTTGGTCAAAGTTATCTTCTTTTCCAAAGTGAAGAGGGTATCGATGTTTCCATTACCAATCACTTTATAACGTCTTTCATTTTTCATTTGATTTTTTTGTCCATTAACAATGTCATGATAAGTTTTGAAAAGTGACTTATTATAACAAATATGGATAGTTGCACAGGTGCCATACCGTCAACTTGAAACTTTACTTTGAATTGTATTGATTCGATCACCATAGTGACAATGTCTTCAATGGAGTTCAAATTTTCCTTCTTTTTATGCCTGCAATTTCTTGCATAGTGTTCCAATTTTCCACAAACATAGCAAGGTCATTTAGACTTCTTTTTGAACTTCCCTTGATCCCTTTTACGACCAAAAGATTTTAATTTCTTTCAGTATTTGCTGTAATAATCAGTTTTGTCCATGGCATTGGCTTTAGAATTGCCATCATAAGAACTCTCATTATTACCTTGTGCCCTTGATTCTTCCTCGTTGCAAAGATGCTTTTGTATATGTTTCAAAGAAAAATCTTTGAACTTGTAAAAAAAATTCTTCCTATAACCTTTTCAAATTGGAGGCAGTTTCGCAATAATTGTGCCTACTTGAAACGATTCAGGAAGTTCAATCTTCTCCACCTTCAACTAATTGACAACAGCTTGAAGTTCATGTACTTGAAGCAATAAAGGAATGTTATCGAGCATTTTAAAATCGAAATACATGGAAATTAAAAACTTTTTGGTACCTTCTTCCTCGACTTTGTATTTATTCTCAAGTGCTTCCCATATTTGTTTGTCGAAGTGGTGTTGGTGTAGAAATCGTATAATCAATCGGATAGAGTGTTTAGAATGTGACCGTGATAAATCAATTCATCCTTTTGTCTCTTCTTTCGTTCGACTTGTACTTTTTCGAAATCTTCATCGAATGGTTCAGAAATTGGTGCCAAACTTGGATCAAGAAATAGAAGATCTTCAACGTAGTCAATAGAAATTTGAGTTTGTCTTGCCATCGGGTAAAGTTGGTTCCATCAAAACTATCTAAACGAACCAAGTACTGGTTCATCAACTTGATTGTTACTAGAGTAGTTTCCATCTCCAGCACATTAGAATGTCGTTTGAGATTACTGAGAATATAGAATATGGAGAGGAAGGAGATGGAAACACAAAAACAAGAAAATGAATGCAAGATTTGAACATGTTTATTAATGTTGTCCTCAAACGATATTTGCCTCATCTCCAATTGCTTTTAAAGATTTTTGGCAAATAGTTTGAAAGATTAATCAAACCTATAATGAAGAACATTAAATGACAAGCATTTTCAGTAAACTTGATGAAAACAAAGAAGGTTTGAATATATGTGAGAAATTGGGTTTAATTCAATCAAATAATGCCAAAGTGATTGAAATATTGTTGTTATTGTATTTGGAAATAGAATACTAACTCTTACTTATAATTTTTCAATCATACATCACGAAATCAAGCCAACTATTCATGAAAAGTTGACAACTTTTCACGAAAAGGTTCAAAAAATTTAAAATAAGAAATTAGCCTAACTAGGCCATTCGGCCTCGGAAGGGCAGGGGCGAACCCATGAAATTTTTTCAATGCGGGCGGTATTAGTAAAAAAAAAATAATATTATTATTATTATAAGACAAATATTATACTAAAATGAAATACCTTATAATTGTTTTTTTTTAACGAATTTTCACACTTTGATATCTTTGTACAATCACCTCGTTATCAATCTTTAAGAATATATCTTTCTCCACATAAAAAATAAGGCAATCATTTATCCACTCATCTCCAATTTGATTGTGCAATCTATCCTTCACAATGTTCATGGCAGAAAATACTCTCTCTACTTTAGCGGTAGCAATCGGAAGAATTAGTGTCAAAGTCAAAAACTTGTAAATCATTGGATATGCTCTGCTCTTATTAGTCAAAATTAACTTATGTTCGAGAGCATTGAGACCATTCAATTCTTCAAACTTTTTGCTAGAGAGGACATAAAAAATGTAAT